TTTCTTCTTTTATAGCTCTTAATGAGTAACTTTTAGTCTATTCAACAAGATAATTTTTGTTGTCTGTTATTTCTAGCCAGCTTCAAGAGCACACTGATGTGTAGAGATCAGGATTCACCTCAGCTAGTAAAACTTCTGATTTTTTTTCCCTCTAGTTATTACATAGAAAATCATCAAGGCTGAAAAGTGACAGGTAGGAAATTCTTACTGGAGTTAAGCTCCTAGTGGCCACTTACATCTTTCCTATCCACCTCCCTTGTTTGAACAAAGCTGTCTTGGGTTATTGCAAGCCTATTCTTCTACCCCTCAGCAGTGCTATTAGTTTCCCCGATGCTGTTGCAAACCTTGTGTGAAATGTATAAACACGTGGGCCGGTCGGGTTAGTAATTGTGTAGGCAACAATAAAAGACCTTTACCACTAATCGAAGTCCTGGGCAGGGCATTTGTGTCTGCTTCTGAAAGGAGAATTTACATTTTCACAGTTGCATAATCACATGGGTAGAAGGGATCTAGGCTACAGGCATTTTTACTGCTGTGTATGTCTAGGTAAAGATCCATATAGCACGCGTTTATCTTCGTACGTGACTCTGGTACTGCATGAGGAGAAGGGGCGCGGTTGTGAGAGATAAAAGGCTATTCCTTACTCATGCTCAAGTTCCAAAGGGACTTCCTCAACTTATCTGTGTTATAGCTGTTTGCAGTGGCTGTTTGACTTCTTGATAGCATTAGGCGCTGATTCACAGAGTGATTTTATGTTAAAGGATCCTAGCAGTAATTGCATTTCTAATGACATTCTCTGTGAGGAAACCTCTGCCATGACTGTGATGAGGAAGTATCAGTGATGGGTAGGTCATGGCTGATTCTTGTGTTTGCGTGAGATGAATCTGGGCTCAGAGATAATGGGACAACTGATCCTTAATGGCTTAATGCTGAACTTGTTCCTTTCAGTGGTTTCAGCATAAAAGTCCCACACTACTGTGGATATTCTAATACATACACTAAAGTGTGCGTTTTCTTATTATCTGGACATTTTATGCTTCGATAATTGTATGGGATCTGCATAGCTCAATTTGGACAAGTCCTGAAGGGAATTTCATTTCCCCAGCCTCACAGATCACAACTCAAATCACACAGCATCGTGTCTTTTGGATCGGGCTCCAAAGTGTCATTTTTACAAACAGATCCCTTTCCATTGTCAGGGTCTAGGGTCACTTGTAGTTCTGTATTATAACTCTCATAAAGTGTCCTCTTGGTTTTTGATCGTGAATTTGTTGGGTGGTGATGGCACCAGCTGTGAAATGCAGAGAGTATTTTTTTGTCATCTTACTTCTGTGTCATGTAAAAAGATTAGAGATGCATATAAAGCACATTTCCTGCCAGGTTCAAAAATGCCTTCAAATGATGATTCTTGGCATGGCATATGTTAGACAGTAATGCTGCAGTGAGTACTCTAGGGTTCCCATTTTGACATTGTTTTCATTCTGCTTGTATAATCTCATTTATTGAAAACATACATGTACCTTTTCTCTTATACTTCTACCATCCACCTTTAAAACTTGTTGGTAGGATATCAGGAAAATCGAACATGTTTACACTGGGTATTCCTAAGAGGATTTACATTTGTGCAGGTCATGGACCTCCAGAGGATTTTGTAGCTGTCAGCCCTACATGGGTTGTTTTTAGCTTTGCAGATAACGCAGGTGGGAAAAAGCCCTGAGAAGCTTGTTTGACAGAGGTGAAGTAAACTGTAAGTACAATGATACACAGACAGCTATTTCTATCCTCTTTCTGTGGTATTGGTTAGGAGCAGTATTCAGGTTGGTGATTAGGTATCCTTCTAATTCATTAGAGAATATGAGGTAAGGTTGAAGAAAATATAATCTTACTAAGACAATATAAATAGTAGCACAAGATTGAAATAAATGGTAAATGAATGAGTAGAATAAACAGTGAAACATCCTAAAGTGTTAGCCTACATGTTTAAAAAGTGCTTGGAAATTAAATATGTAGAGAAGGTAAAATAAGACCAAGGAGGCATGGTTAAGGATTTGATTGTTTAACTCTTTCAGTGAAGGATGTTTCTGGACACCTTCATCACCCATTCCTACCATCATTAGCTAAAAGTGCGAGGCTAAAGCCTTAGTACTGGTCATCCGTTTTGATTTTAACAAGACAGAAATTCTATTTCTTCATTTCTGCCAATAGAAATCTGCAATATCTGCATATCATTTCAGTGCTGATAGGTGCAAATTAATCTATTAAAAATGACAATTTCATTTGGGCCTGATATATTATGATACCAACAGAATTCTCTCATGAAGTTCTCTGGGTTCTTCTGTCCTCATCAGATTCTGCCCACAAAGATGTATTTGCAGGTTTGGACCTTTCTTTTCTCCCCGTTACTCTGAGGCATTGAGAATTTTGACCAAATAAGGATATTGGAAGTTATATCAAACCTATGAAGTTTTAGAAGTATTTCTGTTCATTCTAAAAAAATGAGATATTTCCTAAGTAGACTAAACTAAGTAGAAAGGAAGTGTAAGCATCACCTTGATACTTTTTGTTCAGGGAGGAACTCTTTTGCAGTGAAAGATGCAAGACTGAAGAGAGATGCTTAATCCCGTGGAATGTGGAGGAAGAGGTGGTGAGCTGCAGGAGAAAAGTGTTTGGGGGAAGCACAAGGGCACCTGTCTGTTTGTACCTGACTGCAATCCTGGCTTTAAGGGCAGCACTTTCAGGAACTGCAAAGAACCAGTATAATTTTCAGTGTGTAAGGAATGACTACACAGTATATTTAAGAGCACCCTGAAGCCGCCCTTAAGATTAGATTCACTGTCTGTAAGAGCAGCAAAGCTGGACATGTGATTGTGGGCCAGAAGCTGCTCCACAAAGCATTGCAGAGTCCTGTGTGTTGCACACACTGTTCAGCCCAACACAGCACAAGCATGGTGCGCTCTCGGTGGCTTTGTGAGGCACGTCCAGGCAGGTTGGTTGACACCTACCTGCAGACATCTTCGTCAGACTGGCTGCAAGACCCTCAGGTGAAAGGGAGGGACATCAGACTGGAAGGTTGCTATAGTCCACCTACTTCCCAGAGTACTTGGTATGAGCAATGTTGACACTGCCTTGAAGCGCTTTCTGGTTACTATTCAGTGTTAGAGATGTGAAACAGGATTTATATGAATTCCCAATCTGTCTGAATTTTACTGGGCCACTTTTGTGGTTGTTTTTTCTCTATTACACAGTGTCATAGCTATTGACGGTGTTTTTTTCTGGTTGGATTTCTTCAGGTGGTAATTCTTGTGCTAAGTCATGGTGCCTCTGGTTTCATGGTGTGTTGTGTGACTCATGATTATTTGACCTATGAGATTTATTTGTCCTTTTTCTACAGGTTTTAATTTCATGTCAGAAAAACATTATGCTTTCAAAGACTTACAGTTCTGATGTTCAACAGCCAAAAGTATTGATTTGCAGTTGGCAGGAGGGTGTGTTTGCCTCAACTAGCAGTGCTTTTAAAAAATAATTCCATTTGCTTTATGCCAAAGAGTCCCTGTGTCGCCTTTCAAAACACCTTTGTGTTGACTGCAGCAAAGCCTACCACATTAAAAATGAAATTGTGTTTATGCCAAACGTTCTCCCACATGTTTTCAAACCTTTTAGCGGTGTTTGCACTGAAATTTTTCACCTAAAAGCCGCAGCACTTCAGAGCTCCACTTGATGCTTTTGTAAAGACATTCACTTTCTGTCAAGAAAGGGCTACATTCTGGCCCAGTGACCATGAGTAGTGGCTTACCAATACGCGTCATCCTCCTGGTGTGTATGGGGATAGGTACGTGTAAGCTTCTTATGCTGTGAAAGGGAATAAAATCTGGCCCATGACACTGAGTAGTCTGGTTATTTTAATCACTACCTGTGACTCTCTGAATTATCATCTGTGTTACGGGATAATATGATCTCTTTGGTATTCAACAATTACTTTTTAAAAATTACCATATATATTATACAGAGCTAATATATATTAAGAGATACCTTAAGGGTAATTATCAAGTGTATAATTTCATCTGTAGGTTCTTATAATGATGGTTAATGTCATAAATGTCTTTTAATGAAATTATAGGCTTGTAACCCTGCCTGACTATACTTTGCATGTCACATAATTAATAAGACCAAGCTTTGGTGTTCATCTCGGTGTCACAAAGCATTATGTAAACTTTCATACTGGTGGTAGATGGTTAGTCTCTCATCAGACTAAGAATAAGGTTAAGGCCAGGCAGCTTGAGTATATGTTACCTTCTCTTTCAAGGCAGCTGGATGAGCTTGTTAACAAAACTACTTCTAACAGAATATATATGCTCATGAAAAAAAACTGGCCATTGATCTAGTGTCTTACTATAATACTACATGCAAAATTTTAAGGAAGTGAAAAGGCAAGTGGGTTGTAGCACTTGGAATAAAGAATTGTTTTCCTTCTAATCCACTGAGGGTAGTGAAAATTTGTGTCCAACTTAAAAGCATTTGGAGATGGATAAGAAGCTTTATCTTGAATGGAAGACACTTGCCTGGAACATAGAAGAGCTGGGATTATTTCCCAGTCTGGCCCAATTTCTGTGGGGCTCTGGCTAAATTGATTATTTTTCACAGTCTTCAAATTTCTTGTCTGAAAAGTAAGGGCTATAACATTTATTTACTTTGTCTCACATGTCCAGATTTTAAACTTGCTGGAGCGAAGGAGATATCTGTGGGGTTTTGTTGGGGTTTTTTTTTCCATTGGCAATAACCATAGAATCTTATAGAATCGTTCACATTGGAAGGAACCTAATGTCACCTAATCCTACCTCCTGCTCAGAGCAGGGGCAACGTTGAACTTCTGCCCTCTAGGCCATTTTCTTATTGTGAATACTAATAAGGGAACCAGAAATTTTACATGTCACCAATGAAAAGTAGTTCTAAAAAACCATGTAAGATGTACTAAGATTATTTTACTGTTCTTTGTCCTTCAGGGAATGATGTACCTGGAAGAGAGGAGACTTGTCCACCGGGACTTGGCAGCCCGTAATGTCTTGGTGAAATCACCAAACCATGTGAAGATCACCGACTTCGGCTTGGCCAGACTTTTGGAAGGGGATGAGAAGGAGTATAATGCTGATGGAGGGAAGGTGAGTACCGAACATGTCTGGAAGTAAATCTGTCACACTGTGACAAACCTCCTGAAGTTACTCTTTAGGGCAGTGTATCCCTACAGGACTATTATCTATGTAAGAAAGTCTGTCAGTGACTTAGCAAACTGTGTTGTGACAGCACACATAAAAGCTGCTCATTTTTTGCTCAGTGAGCTTCTCTAGGTGCCAAAATATAATTGTCTGAACAGTTTTCACATTCAGAATTAGGTTTTGTTCATATGTTCCGTTTTGTGTCGTGTTTTTAAGACTGCTGAAGCCAGTTCAAAGAGTGACAGATGTTCTAGGCTCCTGTCAAGCCCCTTTCTCTGGTCAGTATGGACCTCAATAACTTGCAGTCCCATTTTCCCTGAGAAGTAATTTTCCAGAAAACAAAAAGGAAGGCCACAGACATGTTTCTGTTTGTAGCATATGAGAGTTTACATATGCTCAGCAAAGAGCCACCTCTTCTATCACACTGGAGCCTGCGTATGCTATTTCTTGCATCCAAGTCTCCAATACCCCACTGAATGCCAGGCCACTAAAAAGCTTACTGGAGGATAATTTTGAAACCATTTTCCCACACTACTTTTCAGCATCCCGCAGAACATCCATACAGTGCCTCACCCCATTTCGAATCCCTTCAGATTAATGCATTATAAAATTCTGAAGGTTGTAAATACATACTGCTGCTGGCTGCTCCCTAAACATCTTGAAACTCCACATTTCAACCTGTCACAAAATCCTAAGGGCTTCTGCCTCTCCTGTCATTCCTTTTCCAGAATGTTCAGTTTGCATTCTGTCTAGTTGCTATCTGTGATGTTCTGTGCTCATTTATGCCCTTGTCTGGGACAAACAGCTGTTGGATGCTTTTCTCCTGGATGGACTGCTGCCTTATTTGTGTGGCTGCTGCCCTTGGCAGATGATGCGTGGGTTACATCAGTGTTTCAGTCAATGAGGTGAAGAGATTGAAAGGAGTCACCGGTGCTTTCCCATTTCCCCAGTAAAGAGACCTCCTGGCAGGGAAGGTGGAGTTCTGGCAGTCTTCCTGATTCCTTCAGTTCTCTAATCCCCTCTTCAGTAACTCCTCTGCTTCTTCCCTCCGTCAGCCAGTGAATGACAGAAAATGAGCTGGTCCTTGCAAACCAGCTGTTTCCTGGCAGCTGTTAGATGGTGTCTTGGACTTGTGAGGCCAGTCACACTGCTGGGAGTTCTGGAGTAGGATTTATGCAACAGATGTGTCACCACAGGTCCAGAGAAGCGTCCTGTGGAATCTAGAAGACATTTGCAGCTTAAAGTTGTATTGAGAGCACGCTAAGACAGATTCAGACTGGATAAAAGGAAAAACTTCTTCACTATGAGGACAGTCAAGCAGTTGATCAGGTTCCCCAGGGAGGTGGTGCAGTTTCCATCCTTGGAGATTTTCAAGTCCAGGCTGGATAAAGCCCCGAATAACTTTGGTTACAACTTTGGTTGGACTAGAGACCTCCTGAGGTCCCTTGCAACCTGAGTTATCCCATGATGAGCAATGCAGCTTTGCTCCTTCAGCAATTGTTCCAGTTTGGAATGATCCAATCATATTTAATGGTAATGAAAGCAATACATTTCTTCAGAATTTAGTGGAGGAGGATGAACTGTCTTTGCAAGTGCTAAGCCAACCTTTATTGAAGAGTGCTATTTTTGCCATTACTTTATAGGTTATGTTCATTAGTCAACTTCATGGAAGGTATTTTCATAAGGGTTTGAATGAAGACGCACCCTCTGCTTTTACACCCACCATCTGTTCAGATTTTACATGCAGTTACGTACCTCTCTGGTTTATTCCAGTACATATTCCATAGTTCCAAAGTAGAGGCGACCCATACAAGTGCATGCCAGGTAAAAATCTGGTTTTAAAGTCTGTCCATTAGAAATTAATGGACTTCGAGAGTGTGCCTCACAGGCCCAGCACAGGAATAGGAAGCATCGTGAATCTCATTTTAACACCAGCTCAAGAGGGTGAACCCTTAAGTCAAACCTAGGTTTGTGTTTGCCTACGCAGCCTTCTCTGTCAGAAGAGATGAGCTCCCCCCAAGGGTCATTCAGAGCCAAAGGTTAACTTGGGACTTTTTACTTGCTTTCGGGAGCAGTTTTTCTCACTGCAGTAATGATACAGAGAGGCTAAGTTCCTACAGGAAGGCTAAGTTCCTAATGAATATTAGGAGTTAGAAATTAAGCACTGTAAATTCTCCCCATTGCCTGTTTGCTCTGACGATGTTGATGTGGACTGTGAAGTATTATGGACACTACATTATTAACTAGCCTCATTAGAGAGCAATTGAGATCTGGTTTTGCAAACTGTTGAGGCAAAGGAGCTTCTGTATTCCGCATTCTCTGCTGCACTTCAGATTTGGGGACATTGGATGTAATTTTTGCGTTGGTCCCATCTTTACACGGGTATGATGAAAAAGTGAATTGTTCCACTACATCTGAATCAGAAAATTTTGCGTGGTATAAGAAGTTCTGCACGTAGCTCGTCCATAGTTCTCGCCTCCATATGTTTTATGAGGGCAGGAGGGCATTCTAGAGTGCAGGAACAACCGTTTCCTAAGCTGGATAGTGCTGATGTCTGCATACAGGACCTATCTGTACTGTTTTAATGCTATATTTCTAAGGTTACATTTCTCTTGTCTTTCCTTAGATGCCAATTAAGTGGATGGCTCTGGAGTGCATACACTACAGGAAATTTACCCATCAGAGTGATGTTTGGAGCTATGGTAAATCTTCATGTGATTAGTTTAAAAATTTGTCTCTTGTAAAGCATTAAACCAAGTTGTAACTATGTTAAAGATATCCTCTTTTCCTAGAGGAGTTAATTGCAGTGGGTTTTGCTATTCCTTTTTTTTTTCTTTTATTTTTTTTTTTTTATGTGTAACTCTAAACAGCAATTGTTACTTGTCTCCTGTGTTATTTCCCTGCTCACTAAAATACATTATCATGATGTCCCTGCTGGGATGACGGCCGTAAGGTCTGGTCTGGTAGCAGTTTGGCTGATTATTATGACAGAAGAAGGCCTCTTTCAGCTCAGCCACAGATTCATAAAAATACAGCTGCAGGTCATAATTTTCAGCAGTCCTTTGAAAATCTTAACTCTAAAAGCCATGAATGTCAAAAAACATTTTCAGGCTTATGGGACTTTCTGTACCTACAGTCAGATAAAAGGGAATTTGTCATAATACAGAGCAAATACAGCAAGAGAAAGAAAAAAAAAAAGATGAGCTCTCCAAGCTAACTAAAACAAGCGTCCATTTAATTTCACAGGTAACTTGGGAATCAGTTAGACAGATCAGCTCATGTGGACTCCACACACACACTAAAAAAAAAAAAAAAAAGTCACATTTGAGAAATGGGATGTCTATTTACTGTTGTTAATTCTGTTGTCCAGACAAGCTACTGTGCCACATCTGCTGAGCTGCCTGCCTGTTTATCTAGTATAGCTATTACTAATAAAATCATGTATACCTTGTAAGTGGAATTTCTCAGCAGTATCTAGGGCTATGGACTCCTATTTGCATTTCCTGTTGCTTTATCATTTTGAAACAAAAAGATGTACAATTCTATTCATTACTCACTTTTACCTGTGGGTAGCAGCAGAAGACACTGTTTGCTGTGACTGCTTAGCGGCCCTCTTCTATTCAGCTGCAAAAAACACATGAGTATTAAATTGATCATGTAAAGCTGCTCTTTCTCCTCAAATTCTGTATACCCCGTAGCACTTAGGAAAAAATATGCCTCTATTTATGAAATCAATTTTAAATCCAGGAAGCCCAGAATATCTATAATCAGAAAGGACAAGACGAAAAACAATTGATGGGTTATAGTTACTGAACATCAACAAAGAGGTGAATGAGGTGAAATAAATATGTGTTTTATACGTATGGTAATTTTCCCCATCACCTTTCACATTAGCATGACAGCTGGCAAAATATGGTTACTGATCTGGAGGCATGTTTAAAATGACCTTTGCAATAAAAATATAAGTTAAAGAAACTGGCACGAGAGCAGCATTTTCAATATTTAAGATTTTGTTTGGGAATGAATTCTATTAGTTATGGTACATGATCTTTATTTCCAGCTCCGATGCCAAAACAAATCCTATGGCGATTCAAAAAGAGAATCTTGATTTTGAAGCACCGCACTATCATAACTCATATCCATAAGGTGATTTAAGGGAAAAAAAAAATACAAATGGCTCTGAATGACTTATAAGGCAAAGACAATGACATAATGTTATTCAGTGCTGTACCTTTGTGGGAAATTGATACTCTTAAGTTAGGGAACATCTGTGGGTTTTTTCCCCTTAAATAATGGAGTACATTAGCCATTCATTTTCCCTTTTCATATGATAAAAGAGCATGATGCCTTCTTGTGTTATTGCATCCATTTACGTTACCACCATTTGTATGTCTTAGACCTTTCTCTTGTGCCTCAGATCTATCATGCCACCTCTTACACCAATAAAAATGAGGGGAGTTGTTTTTGAAGATTAACACAAAGTGCTGTTTCACCATTTTCTGGAGATTTTTAAATAGCAGAGCAAACTTCATTGTTTTTACAGTACTGCTAACGAAGAAGAGATTGCAGTCCAGAACTGGGCCACAATACTGCGCTGTAAGAAATTGTAAAGGAATCTGAGTAGTATGACCTCAGATACTAACACTCTTTTTTTCTGTCTAGGAGTCACTATCTGGGAGCTTATGACCTTTGGTGGGAAGCCGTACGATGGAATCCCGACTCGAGAGATCCCTGACCTCTTGGAGAAGGGAGAGCGGTTGCCTCAACCTCCAATCTGCACTATTGATGTTTATATGGTGATGGTGAAGTGTAAGTAATTGTCGCGTTTAATACCCCTACGCTCAGTGCAAAAGGGACACTGGTTTAGAACATTTGCATCTATAGTCTCTGACAGTGCCGGGTAATAGGGCAGGCTGCTTCAAAACAAAAGTTACCCAAGATATCGTAAATTCCATTTAAATACTGTATGCACATTTTTAGCAATTGCAAAAGATAGGAATTTAGCCATGAAGGGTTGAGTTAGCTCAGCTTCTTATTACTGTCAGATGGTATCTCATATTCTTGCTATGAAGTCAAAATTGTGTGATTGTTATTGTAAACCCTTGTCATTTCCATGACAATTGATTTTGATTTTAAAAGAGATAGTATTAAACATAATTACGGTACATGGATACCCAGTCAGTGAAGGTTGTAAGGAGAAATGCTGGTTCCAAATATTGAGGAAAGCACGAATGTTTTATTGTTAGTAACAAGAATGGTGGTTGCAATAGTAATAATGAAAAGTAAAATTAAATTAATACAAGAAATGCTACAGAGAGGATAATTTTTTATCATTCTTAGTCTAGTACAATAATTTATGAATAGTTTTACTTTAGCAAAAAAATAGTTTGCACATGGTTTCTTCCTACCCTTTTATCTCCAAGATACCCACCACTAGTGACAGTATCCTCCAAGGCTATGCTTCTAATTTAAAAAGAATTAGGAACATATCTCTGGTGTTTCTGACTTAAATTAAGTGAGATTAATATACAGACATCTCATCCATCTTATATGGTTCTTTCCCTTTTGTTTTGTACACAAAAACACTGAAAGAAAGAAAGAAAGAAAATAAAACTAGAAAAAGAATATAACATATCTTCTGAAAACAGTTGTACTGTGCATGCAGATATGGAAATTGTCTGAATAGTGCAAGGGGTTCATTTTGGTTGAGTGCAAAAATGTTCCATCTGGTTGGATTTCTAATGAGCATGAGGCAAATCTCAGTGGACAAAAGGAAGTCCTAGTAGATGGGGAAAGTCACAGCTAGACATACAGACTTAGTTCTGTAATGTTTGTGTGAAATTCTTTATAAGCTATAGTGGCTTTGTTTTTCCTGTGTTGGTCACTTCTTCAGTTAAGTAGCCCGAAGGAGATAAGGCCTGCAAATGAGAACATGTTCTTGGGAAGCTGCTGATAGGATCTTCCATTAGAAAAAGCTGACAATGAGATAAACTAGTTGCTGGTGGTGACTGCCTATACTACTTGCTTGTTTTGCAGAAAGCATTAGCAGGGATTGAGAATTGCTGTTCCTAATGAATGTTTCTTGGAGAGTGAAGGACAAAAGAATCACCCTTACTCAATTAACATAGCATCTAATGCCTTCTGTGAGGTCTGTGTTAATGATGCAGACACGTGAATGCAGAATTACCTGAAAGGTGAATGTGAGGTCAGTCATCCTGTAGATCTGTTGAGCAGCTCTTTTTACTCTAAGTCACTGTGGAACAGAAGGTCAGTTAAAGTAAAATTGTATTTAGTAATAACTTTGTAATAAACCCACTAGACTCAGATGAGATCAGATTCATTATATTAGAGGTTGGACACATCCATAATAAAGGACAGACCTGACATCTAAATGGGCAAGATAAACACAGAAAAGGCATTGTTACTGTATTTTGAGGATGGGGAACAGGAGCTCGGAGCAAATTAAGAAGAAACCCATGCAGTTTGGAACATCTAGTCTTTTCTGGCCAAGACCAGATGTTTTCCATTTTAGACGCATCATAGAGTTCTAGCTTTCCATTCTTCTGGGCTCTTTCTCGCATCTTTTCTTTAGGCCAGACCTATCAAGGACATCTTTTCACTTCAAACTTGTGCATTTTTAAGAATGGAATGACTTCTTCCCTTGACAATTAACTGTTTTGCTTCTCATCTTTCATCTGTCCTCAGGCTGGATGATTGATGCTGACAGTCGCCCGAAATTCAAGGAGCTGGCTGCTGAATTCTCTAGAATGGCTCGAGACCCTCAGAGATACCTAGTAATTCAGGTAAGCAACTCTGCAGCATCATGGGGGGGGGAAAGAATTCTGTTTACCAAACCTGATTGTTAACGGGGTTGTCTTTGAATCTCTTTGAGTTCAAGGTGCTCTTGAACTTAAAGCAAACAGTGATCACAGTACTATACAAAAATGAAATAGAATGGCCAGTGGCAGTGTCTCAAAAATAACAAAATAATCTGAAATTCACTTCCTAAGCTTGTATTTATGAGCACATATGCAAGATCTGGCTTTGCAAGCTGCTGAGTACTTTGCGTTCTCTCATGAAACTGACAAGATTTGTCCATCAGTGGCCAGCAGACCTACTTTAGACCAAGGACTTGCTTGGTTCTGCAGTTTCTTAGGCTGAATCTCAGGGGATTATCCTGAAGAGACTCTTCCCTGCACTGCTGTGAGAGCATAAGAAAGTTTCTTTTCGTAGCCTTCATAGAAACATAAAGGTTTCTCAGAAGGCAGGGAGTTGTGTCACATTGGTACCTCTCTCATGCTAGAGAGGAGCTTCCCAGTGTATCCTCCGTAGGGTGTGTAGGCTCTGCAGTGCTTTGTGGTCCCTGCAATAGACCCACACCAGCATGATTCATCACATGAAACTGTACTGTGGCAGCAGGGCAATACCAATATAGCCATATCTGTTGACTACATCTAGCTGGAGCTGTGTACTCCCTGAGTACAGACGCATGTGGAAATTTTTGTCCTTTTGCTCCTACATTCTGCAGAAGCCTGGAGTTGTGTATGTGTTTATTACAACTCAGACTCGAGCCACAGAAAATGAATCTATTTGGTAAGGTCCTCAGATGGTCCCAGTGTGTGAGCAGTTAAAATGAAAAATTAAAAGAAGGTGATGTTGAAACACCAGAAACCATAGCATGGAATTAGTTTGATCTAGGTAATGAAACTCTCGTGCTATATCTCATGCTATATCTGCTCAACATTATGGAGTACAGTGCAGACATACATCCAGCTGATCCTTATCTTCACACTGACATAAGAATTGGTAGCTGAAGAGCCTCCAGAAATACAGTCACTGCCACTTTATGTCTCCTGATTGCTTCTTGGTCTAGTGCTAGTCTCACCATATGGTGTTTCATTCCCCTGTGTAGAAACCAGGATAACTCCATTGCACTGGTATCTCTGCCTTTATAACTCCCCATTTACCCCAGATGCAATCCAGAATGACCAGTTTGCTGTTGGGCTTTTAAACCAGTCTGTATGCACCCTGTAGCACAGCCATCATTCCCTGCTGGATTCCACACGTGGCATAATAATTCTTGCGGAGTGGGAGGCCATTCTTTACCAATGCAGTTAAGTTTGGCACCATTTCTGTGGGCTGTTAGGTGTTTGGGGCGTGGGCTACCTTTTTTGATGTTTTGTGGCACCAAGGAAAGCGCAGCCCTGATTTGCCTCTCCGGCTCGTAGATGCCATTTCAATAAAAATACTTATCATTGTTGTTGCTGTTGTTGCCTGGTTTGATTTTTATTGCTTTCAGCTCTGTAACGTTCTGCAGAACTTTCCATATGGATGAGAGGGAAATTTAGCCTCCAAGTCCCTAAAAATATAAATTAAAACAAAGCAAACACCCAGACATAGCAGTTTCCATGTCATTTTTCCTTCCCATGTGAGCCTAAATAGCTGAGATATTTCACAAGATACATCAGGCCTTGACAGAACTTGGGTCAGAAACTGAGCTTGTATGGGAAAAAGAGAGAAAAAAGAATAAAAGCTCGATCACAAGAATGCCAAAAAAAATGGCTTTGCTTGATTTATGCGGTTATTCCCTTTCTGTCGTCATATTCCCAGTAAAAAAATCAAAACAAATGATGTGGATGTGGTGCTTTAGAACAAACAGAGCAGCATGTGTGGTCTCTGCAGCCTGGCTGCCAGGGCCTGAAGAAGGCTGAGGTTCCCTGCTGGTAGATTAATCCATCTTTTGACCACGTTCCTCTCTCAATACAACCTATTTAGGGAGATGATCGTATGAAGCTCCCAAGCCCAAATGACAGCAAGTTCTTCCAAAACCTTCTTGATGAGGAAGACCTGGAAGATATGATGGATGCTGAAGAGTATCTTGTTCCTCAAGCCTTCAACATCCCTCCTCCCATCTACACCTCCAGGACAAGAATTGATTCCAACAGGGTAAGAGCAAGCTCTGACAGCAAATACTGGTTATTATAAAAGCACATGTGGAGATTTAAGTACACTAATCAAACACAGGCCAGAGTTGCCTTGGGAATTACAAGCTCCCATTGTAAGGAGAGTGACTATAAAAATGTTGTCACTGGGTTCCCTGTTCATTGTGCCTCGGTGAATTCTAAATTAATAGCTCAGCCTTGAGTGAACAAAGGCTCAACCCGAACTGCCTGTCCTGAAAACACGGCTGAGCCTTGTGAAGTCAAGCAGTGTTGTTTCTCAGTTGCGTACCATGCTGGCTGGGAAGTGCATAACTCTAATTCTCCCATCCCTGCAATCCTGTTGCCCTTGACAGGATTGGCACTGTTGTAACTGAGGGCAGCTGGAATGTATAGATAATGTGTCTGTGTCTGGAGCCACGTTTCAGACCCAGCCTCTTTTCCAGTTGGTATGTGATGCTTTCATGGCCCTCCTTCACAAGCATGTGTTTTTGCTGAGCACATCACAGATTTTAGCTTGTTGGTCTTCGTAACATCCCTGTCAGGGGAGGAAATGCTATTCGTTTTACAGGAGGAGCTGAGGCACAGCGAAGTGGAATTCAGCTCACATAACTAGTCATCAAAAGGATAGGGCTATAATCTAAGCTCTTCATCTAGACTTCATTTTCTGTCATCAGAGAAGAGTGGGTGTGTCCAGTGGGTGATTATTGCTGCCTGCCTTGGACATTTGCTGTAGGATCATTTACTCTCTAGAAGTGTCTTTCTCTATCCACTGACCACTGACAGCTCCAGAGCAGTCTGAGACCTGGTGTGTGAGCTCTGGTGAATTGGATCCTCTCCTAAATACCTGACCTTCAGTGCCACAGGAGCCCTGCTGCAGGTGGGGACTTGAGTTCAGGTTTCCAAAACTCATTTTCACTCCTGAGCTCCCTGCCTGCAAGCTCTGACCTCTGCTGTTCTGTACTTGGCTCCATCCTTTTAAGAGTTTAGATGCCACCCCTTCTCACAAAAGTAAGAGATGGTGAAATGCATTACTAATGTGAGGACATTTGCACAACCCTCAGATGTATTTAGGGACTTGTTTGTTTTCTCTCCATGCTCCTTTTAGGGAAAGTCACATTTTAAATACTGAGTAGAGTCTCATTGAAATGTTGCTGTTTATTCCTCACATTTTAGAAACCTTTTGGACGTTTGTCCTTAGCTGAGGTAGTTCCAAATTCATACCCTGGTCTGAACTGATTACACCATGTGGGGCAGGGAAGAGGTAGGCAAACGAGCTAAGCAAGTCAGTATTCC